CATATTCAGGGATTCTAAGGGTTAATCATTTAAATATTATTAGCAGAATGTGTCTGGAGTTGGAGTCCAATTTCTAGCCTTCTCTTCAAAACTGGAAAGAAATTTAGTCATGTCATGTAGCTATTAAAGCAGTTCATACCAGTTTTTCTTCATATTCCTGTGAGGCACCTTTGAGTGGTACTGGTTGTGCTTTGGGTTTGGGAGCTTTTTCTTCACCTCCTTCATCACCAGACTTGACAAAGAAATTAACACAAGAAAGTTATCAAATTTAAAACTAAATTCTCCATACTTTATGACTAACAGAAGAAATGTCAGACATCCATTGTTTCCCGAGGAAAATAACTTTTCAAAAAAATCTGTCATTAGAAAGTAGTGATTTCTTTCCTTCTTCCTAATCTTCGTGTCATTACTTTTACTAATAATAATAATAATAATAATAATTTATTTCTTATGTAGCGCTATTTACAATAACAGATCAATAGTGCTTTACAATTCATATCTCTAAATATTAAAATCTCATCTAATTAAAAAAATAATTACATATTATAGTTAAATTGGCTATATAGAATTCATAATTTAACCACTATTAAAAGGTTTGCCTAAAAAGAAAAGTCTTAATTGAATTCTTAAAAATTTCTACAGATCGAATATTGCATAATTGCAATGGTAGCTCATTCCATAGATGTGGTGCAGCTGCCTGAAATGCACATTTACCCAGGATTGCCAGCATTTTGCCTCTAGGTGGCTCTAATAAAACACCCGAGTTAGATCTCAGATTGTACAAGGACTTGTGTTTGATAACTAAAAGATTGCTAATATATGCGGGTGCGAGGCCATGTATGGCTTTAAAGTTAATAATGGGATCTCAAAATGTATACGCGCTAGTACTGGTAACCAGTGTAACTCGTAAAGTGCTGGAGTAATGTGAGAATACTTCCCAATATCCATAATTAGTCTGGCGGCAGCATTTTGCACGCGTTGTAACTTGGCTATTTGCTCCTTGGGAAGGCCATACAATAAAGCATTACGGTAATCTAACCTACTCGTGATGAATGCATGTACCAGAGTGAGTAAGCTGTCTCTCAATAAATACTTCTTAATGCGTCTAATATTATGCAAGTAGAAAAAACATGCCTTACATAGATTAGTAATATGGTGGTGCATATTCAGGTTTGGATCAAGCCAGCTCCCAAGGTTCTTAACTTGGTGGCTAGATTTTATCTCTGCACCACCTACATTAATATTCATAGCCTGTAATTTGTTAAGTTGCTGGCGTGTTCCAATAATAATAAACTCAGTCTTATCGTCATTAAGGAGTCTATCATGGATCAGCCAGTGCCTGATCTTCTTGATACAACATTCCATTGCACGGATTGCATCTTCCTGGGATGTGTTACTGATAGGTTTGAAACTCAGATAAATCTGTGTGTCAGCATAGCAATGCACATGTGGAAGTTGATCTTCAACCACTCAGAATAGCTTGGATGCATAGATTAGATAGAGCAGGGGGCCCAGACATGACCCTTGTGGGACACCACACTCCAGGCTAAAGCGCTCTGAAAGAGATCCGTCGATGGAGACTCGCTGGCCGCTTGTCGCCCGATACGACCTGAACCATTCCAACACCAATCCGCATATCCCAAGCTCCTCATTCAAATGAGTAAGGAGGATGATATGATTGACCGTATCGAAAGCGGCGCTAAGATCGAGCATGACCAGCAAGGTGTCTTTTTGAGTGTTCATTTTCAAGAGAATATCGTTGTGACTCTAACTAGAGCCGTTTCTGTACTATGATTTTTACGATATCCAGACTGAAACTCAGGATATAGTGAATGAGTCATCATATGGGTGTGTATCTGCTCGTACACCATCCTTTCAGTCAGCTTTGAAACATACTGCAGGTTGCTGACAGGTCTGTAATTTTTGTATAAAAGGTCTAGCCCAGACTTCTTCAGCAGAGGAAGGACAAGCGCACACTTCCAGTCATCAGCAAATAACCCAGACTCAAGTGATAAATTGATCATTTTCATTATGATCGGCAGGAGCACATCAATGCAATCTATCACTAGGGATGTTGGCATAGGGTCTAGATTGCAGCTTTTATTTGTCCTGCTATTGATGAGCTTGCGAACCTTCTCTTCCATAAGGCGGCTAAATTTGCTGAGGGGGGGAGGTGATACTGGGGCGTAGTTGTCAGGGAGTGCTGGTAGCCCTTGCGCCATGTTGGCGAGATTGGAACCAATGGTCTCAATTTTCTGAATAAAGAAAGTTCCCAGTTGATTTGCCAAGTTAATGTTATCGTCTACGGGTGGATACACCGCCCTGTTATCCCCCTGGTTGAGTAGCTTCTTCGCTGCCAAAAATAGGTGGCACTGACTGCTGCTATTATCCTGGATGAAGTTATGATAGAATTTGTGTCGAGCTTCATTCATCAAAGCATTCACATTGTTCTTTTTTGCTTTGTACGCCAGCATATTCTCCCTAGAGCCAGTTCGTCACCACTTCTTCTCAGCCTTTCGTTTCTCCCACCTTGCTGCCTTGATTTCCTCGTTGAACCAGGGAACTAATGGCCTAGAGTGTATCACTTTTGTACGCAATGGTGCATGCCAATCAAGAGCATGAGCTAAGGTTAATGAGTTCATTAAGGGTATCGTGAGTGTTTTGGCAGAGCTCGGAAGACAATGGATCAACCTGTAGCTTTTCCCTGTCAATGTCCTTGATTTTTCTGTTGGACACTTGTTTTACTTTTGGGGGTGGTTTTCCCAACCCAAGATCGCATAGAACAGTAATGTGATCAGAGAACAAATAATCAGCTATAGACTTAGCAAAGAGCAAAGAGTCCAAGCATCGAGTTATAATCAGATCCAGCGTATGTCCAGAAATGTGCCTAGGCTTGTCGACGTGCTGCTCGAGGCAGTTCCAGGAAACGAGCGACCTCTGAATCATTGGGAACATTCACATGGATATTGAAATCGCCAGTGATCAACAATGGCTCAGGGGACATAACAACGGACTCCAAATAGGCCAGGAACTCATCCAAAAACACGCTTGTGGAGACAGGATGGGCAGCAGAGTAAGGAATTCAGTAGATTATAATCACCCTTAGTTTACTAGACCCATGTTTCAGAATCCATTCACCAAACTCGAACGAACTGCGTTTGCCACTGTCCACTTATCGCATATCGATGGCTTCATTCAATAACAATGCAATCCCTCCGCCTGTTCTACCAACTCTCTGAGGTTCACACAATTTGCACCCAGGTAGCGTAATCTCTGTTTTATGGGCCATATCCTTTTCCGACAACCATGATTCGGTGATGGCAAAAATATCAGCACCAGTTGAAGATGCATAACAAACAAAATCGGCTGATTTGTTTTTAATAGATCTAGCATTTAGGCAGCAGAGCCCTAAATGCCTCCTGGCACATCGGTATTGTTCATTGACAATAGGAATGCTAACAAGGCTGGGAGCAGTCGGTCTATTGAAGGGTCTTAAATCATTCAAGCGGTTCGAAGCTACGACAGGAATATTTAATAAGTTCCCCGCTTCGCCATTAACAAATCTTGTTTCTGGGCCAGGATTCTCGTAAATATCACCCGCCAGCAGTAGGAGATACGAGGCCACCAGCATCACGTCGAGTAAGCATAGTCCAGACTCAACTTTGAGCACTGGTGGAACGACCTCCGTACTACAATACCGTTGCATTGAATTCATCATAATAAACCTTGAATAACTTTGAGTTGATTTTCTCATAGTAAACCTTGAATAACACTTCCTGTCCAGAGAGTGTTACTCAAGAGTGTTAAACAATAAGATACTAAGAATGATATGCCCTGATTGGTCAAATACAATGTTTATCGCACTGGTAAAACCATAGTTATTCTATAAAAGCAATAGACCGCACTTTCCATACAAACTTTTCTGGTGTTCTTCCAACACCCAAATGAGTTATTATGCCAGTAAACTGATTGAAAGCATGGTCTATTGCTTAAACAGCACAGAAAACCTTACAACATCAGGTTGTTACAAAATGCATGTACAAAGATAATGAAAATTGAATGATATATTCAGCTTGGAGGCTTTGAATATGTCTTGATACACAAGTGGTATAGCTCCATTATAATAACATCAGAATGAAACTATGATGATTCAATAAATAGGAAGTTACCAACCTGTGACGGGTCTAGGTAAAGTGATTTCGAGGATACTGCAGTAGTCTTAGTTCAAATTAATTCAATGTATGACTTGCAGGAATAAATTGCAAATTACAATTGCCAAATGGAGTAGTTTATTCATTATCACGATTAATGAATTCCCTGACCTACGATGACACTTTTAACCCGACCAACTTTTCTGTTCCTTAAGTACTGAAAGAAAAATGTGTGAAGTTTATTTCTCCACCAATATGGATCGAAACAAAGACTTTTTTAGCTTCTCAGACTAGTACTGTCAAGGCTTTGTTTGCCAGCGTAAAAGTCAAGTCTTCTAGATTTTAGTCTCAATCGAAATTCAATGTTTTGTTACGGGGTTACCATCGAAAAACCGAAACAAATTAATTAAAAGAAATGCACTGTAAAACGACTGGCTGAAATGCACATGGTCTAGCTTGCTTGCACGAAAGAAATTGGCGTGACTAAAGAACATTTACTCGTGTAATCAGCTAACTCAAAGTTCAATTCCGGTAAATTTGAACAGAAAATGAGCTATTCAGTAACTTTTACCTCTTCTGGTGTTGTGCTTTCGCTGCTGGACGATTCTCCTTCTTCGTAATTAGGCATGTTTTCAGTGGAACCGAGTTAGAAGTTAATTTCGATAGCTGGATGAAAAGCCGGGAAGACAACTTTTGGCGGCACACGAGAGAGTTATTGATTAGCACCTCGAATTGGACTCTGGGATAGTCTAGGGTCCTCTTTTGTCTAAGACAGAGATGACATATAAGAAAATGTTCCTTGTAACCAGTCTCTCGCCGCACTCTCTCTCCAATCCTCGTGGACAGAAACATGGCGACTTACATCGCCAAGTCACTGTAATACAATGTGTCTTCATTCGAGAATCATTACCTTTGTTTAAGCATTTTAGAACCAGTCGATTTACAAATTTGACAGTTAAATAGATACATGATATCATGAATCACACAAATTCTGCGTCGCTCTTTAAAGCACTGTTATAACTTTCGAATCAAGATTGAAAAGTTTGCTGAGGGTTGCAGTCTAAAGGAAAAGTCTAATTTTGAAGCATACCTGTATCCACGATGCAAATAAAAAGTGTGGAAGCCTTAAAATCGTGGCTAACAACTCGTTTGGAGTCAGTGTAAGTATATTTACGTATGAAAGCCAAACTGTATTACGTACGTAGACACAGTAAATACTACTTAACCGACTCATACATGGACATGAACGCTAAATTTTTTTGTAATTGTACATGTGCGATAGATGCCTTCCACATGAACCTGGATTTCAGGGGATTTCAAAATCGATTTGTCCTGCTGGTGTTCAATTTTTATTAAGTATTGCTAACTTTATTAGGCAACCTTCGACGTTTATTAGAAATTAGACAAGGTTTCTTGCTGTCGGCATTAATAACTTAATTAATCTCGTGGCAAGATTTCCATACAACCGCATACTTCATAATGTATACAATTCTTGGATAAAAGAAAGCAGAGGCAAAACAACAGATTACCTTTGGGATTATGGCTTTGTTTTTGATTGGTATGGGGCTATATGGAAATCTTTCCAATCTCTTTGAATCTGTGACCTTGTAGGGTGCCTAGCACCTAATTCCAGCTTACAATATTGTTGCTGAATCACACGTCAAGGTCATGAGAGTAAAGGAAACAAACACCAACTAAAGAAGCACTTGATTGTTAACCAAATTCTTCTTCTCGGCACCTTAGGGAATGTATAGAAAACAGTTTGTTTTTAATATAGAGAATGTTTATACTGATGTTTTTAAAAGGGGTGATAATAAGTTATCGTGAAGTTCAGAAAGCACTTCCTTGTTTGACAATGAAAGATCACTGATGATTAGAAGATCAGAAAATATATTTTTTGACTGCTGTTACCGGATCTTAAAATTGAACTTTGGTAAGCTTTCTGCACAGCCCCATACTTATTGTACCTACAGTTCTTGGGTAAAGAAAGCAAATTATGGTGAAAACAATAAATTCTCTTTGGTACTATGGCTTTGTTTTAAAATAGTATAGGGTTAAACATAAATTTTTCCTGACTTTTTATACCATTATCTTGGGAGCCTTTAGTGATATCTGATAAATTTAAAAATTTCACCTTAGTATTGAAAATGGCTTTGCTTTTACTCCAGATAATGGATTAGATGGGGTTTCCCAGGATGAAACAGCATGCTGCAAAGTGATAAAATAAAATAAAACCCTAAGTGATACAAGGGAAACTTTGATTTGCACCAATTGGCAGAAATGCATTTGGTTCAGTTTTATGACTTAACCTGTGGTATATTACAATTTTTCTCTTTTTACAAATGTTTCAGTTGTGATGCTGATCCAGCAGCTCTGGCCAAGTATGTTGTTGCTCTAGTGAAAAAAGACAAGCCTATAGAAGAACTCAAAGACATTTGTGTGGACCAGTTAGAAGTTTTCCTGTCTGGAGGTAAGATTATCGCAACTCAAAATGAAAAAGTCTGAAACTCCCTACAAGTCAAATTGACAGTTATATATATTTTATACCGTTCTTGTAGTACTAGTATCACTCACACGAGACCACTTTTTTTTTTCTTATTTTTCTTTTTTTTTTTTGCAGAAACAGCTACTTTTGTGAACACATTATTTGAAGCTCTTGCCACCTCATCTTATGTTCCTCAAACACTTACTGAACCAAATACTGGACCAATTGCTAGCTCTGCTCCTCTGCCAAAAGCTGTTCCTTCACAGTCAGCCCCTAACTCAACCACACCGCAGGAAAAACCCAGGAAGTCGTCCATATCAGAGGACTCACGAGTTCTAACAGAGGTAATTAAAAGTCTCGCGTGACCTTCTTGCATAATCTTTTAACTCCCAAGATCAGTTGAGGGCCACTAGTTACTCAGTTGAAGCACTGTCCCATGTTACCCTCGTAGTTCCATTTTCTGCCTTTAAAAACACACACAACCCGCAATTCTTCTATTCGCTCCGACGAAGGGCTAATGCTCGAAACATCAGCTTTTGTAATCGTTACGGTGGCCAATTTACCATTTCAACTTTGTTGATATATCCAAATTATTTCGTTACTCCCACCAATGCAGCCCCAAACAGTTTCTTTCGAAACTATCAGCCTTTATTTACTCGTTAATTAAAGTTGATTGATTGATTGATCAGATTGTTAATTCTCCCCTTTAGCTGTCATGTATTTCCTTGTTAATTAGTTAGTTATGAGAATTTCTTCTATTCTAGCCCTCAGTACTAGATGATGATGACAGAGATTTTAAGAGAACAAGGAGAACAACAGATTCTAGTGACAAAATTACCAGCTCAGTGGTGTCCAGCAGCGCTGACAGATCTCGCAAACGAAGAGGTGACGATGACAGCAGATTCAGGGGTGACTACTCAAAGTTTATGAAAGAGGAATCTGGTGGAATGCGACATGGAGATTCTGAATCTCATGATGATCAGGGCCCCAGAAATAAATCTGATGGAGCACATTATGACAATGCAACTTATCCTATTCCAAGTGCCATGCATCGTGAACGAAATAACAAGCATTTGGACGGCCAGGATGGGTTAATGCGAGCTGGTTTTATAAACTCTCATGATGATTCTAGGGGAAGGCGTGGCAGTCCCTCCTGGGATCGAAGAGGTGGTAGAATGGGGAGAGGACGATACAGAGATGACAGATTTAGAGATGACCGCTCAAGACATGGGCGAGAAGAAAGAGATAGAAGTGGTCCCAGAAAGTCTCGTTGTAGAGATTATGATGGTATGAATTCATCTTTTCTTTGTTTGACAAAAGATCTGGTCTTCCACTATAACATTATGCTAGACACATTGGTCTAACAAAGAGTATCATGAACTTTAGATCAAGAGGTCCTTGTTCAAGACCTGGTAGGTAGTTATTTTGTGTTCTTGAGTAAGACACATTACTCTCACATTGCCTTTCTCCTCCAAGGAGTAGAAATGAGTACTGGTGAACTCTCAGGGAAGCCTGGGAAAGTTTGTAAATGGCAAGCTGTTGGCGAGTGACTTACGAACTTTTTTAGTTTTCTCCCAACATCCTTGGTGGGTTATTATGTAAGTAAACCAATAGCAAGTGTAGTGGAATGCTTTTGTAAAATAACTTACAATTTTTCAATTTTCTAAGATTATACTGGTGTAATAAATGATAGATTTTTTACTAATCAGGGTGCCTTTAGTTTCTCAGTTATTTTATCAACAAAATTGTAATGTAAGGAATGTAATTTGAATTGAAACCAAATTTTCGGAACTAGCATTATAAGAAATGTATGGAAAGAGGAATTATTTTTAAGATCTAGGGAGTGAAAAGGTAAAGAAGTTGATATCAGATCTGAAGTGCATTTTTTTTTTTTTTTCCTTATAGAAAAAGGATTTTGCATGCGTGGAGAACTCTGCCCCTTCGATCATGGAAATGACCCAGTTGTTGTCCAGGATGTCCTTCCCCCAGGTATATTAGGCTTTCCAGATGGCCAACCCATCCCACCAGCGACATTACCTGGCACTGCTGGTCCAATACCAGGGAGTTACCCAGCCCCACACCCAGCCCCACACCCTGCCCCAAACTCCCAACCCCCTCCTCCAGGCACCACTGGTCCTTTACCAAATGATGTACCCAAATCCAAAGCAAGCCAGGAAGGTCCCGACAGCACTGTACCTGTGAGTGGCCCAAGACAAACAGCTCCAACCAGAATGGTTGCTCCACACAGCCAAGCCCCAGTCATACCAATGCCAACAGTTCATATGATGCCACAGCCTATGTTAAGGCCACAGGTACCCCGTCCTCAATTTGGTAATCCATTTGAAGGTAGGTCCTAACTTACCCACTTTGGTAATAAAATTAATTGGTTATTAACACCAACCTTGGCTTTTCCCTAATCCAACAGGGTACCACTAATAATAGTATATGTAATGAATTCACACTCATCTAAAAGCCACCCTATGCCTTATGATAGATAAGTTATGGGCAAAAGAATTTTTTGCATGAGGCATAGGGTGAGCTGAAAGAGGAATTGGCCAGCACTGCTGAAGGGGAGGAGAGTGGGGAAATTTGCAGAGACTGTGGCATCAGTAGACTTGCGAGAAGAGAGAGATATTGCATACAATGGCAAATAAAAGGTCTTGAGAATTTCCCTTGGGACTCTACGGCCAATAGCATTTCTGCCACAAGATTACGAATTCATCCGATTTACTAATTCGACATGTGGTAGCTTTCACATGAGTGAGAATGGTAACTACTTATTGATAAAAACCAAGAGTGTTGTTACAGGAAAATCTCAAACTGAGGCGTTGCCTTATTGACCAAGCAATAGGGACCTTAAGCAGTCAGGACGGCAATGCCAAACTTCGATTAAAAAATGAATTTCTACTCTTAGTCAGAATTTCGAAAATGGCTGCATGAGCTTACTGTCTCATAAGGCGTCACAGCTCAACTTCAGCATGATGTTTAGAAGTAGCGTTGAGTTCCAAATGGAAATTAAATTAATTTGCCATCGCGGTTTCGGTTCGCAGACGACGCAAATTTTGGCGATTTCACATTGTTGTTTTGCATAGGACAGCTAAGAAATGTACAAAGTTTCAAAACGCACGTGCTGAGCTATTGTTCTGCCAATTAGATCTCTTGTTTTTCCACGTCCTCGTTGCTGTCGCTGTCGTGGTTGCTTAAGGTCCCTAATAAGTGTAGGGGCTGCTGCCTATGTAAGCAGACACCAACTGACAAACCCAAAGGACTGAAGGGGTGGGAGTTTGAATCCACAAGGAGTTGCTTTTACACAAAAAGTGATCAGCCAAGTTAATGGTTCTCTTTCCTTTCTTTTGATTACTAGATTCTTACAATCCAGAACAGCCTCAATTTGACAGGACACCAGTGTGGATGAGACTTGGCAATGGTCGTCCTCCTCACCCTATCCCCCCACATGGAATGTTTCACCCTAACATGGGTGGTATGAGGTCAAGAGAGCTCTTAGCAGTTACTCCAAATCCACCTCAGCTCACTGTTCAAGGTAAAAGGTTTCTAAAAGAGGCCAACTACCTGGTTCATAATAGCAACTTTTATTTTAAATAACATTTATCAGGGGTTTCATTAACGTTTTTAGCAGGAGGGCAACTGGTTTTCACAGGTGGGCAAAATTTTTTGAACTGAACTTCTTTATTAGATAAACTTTCCTCCAGATCGTCAAACCAGGAGGGCAAAAATCCTTCTCACATGTACAACCGGTTGATTTGCCCAGTGCCCGGCCCTTAATGAAACCCCTGATTTATAAACCTACTAGTTGGTCTTCAGTTCTTTCTTTAGTTAGATCCAAGGAGGCTTATTGATGCCAAGAATTATTAGATGGGGGTAGGAGGTGGGAAACTTTTTTACCCTTTTGTACCACAAAATCAGTGTACATATTCTCTACATTGTGTTTTATATGTTTCCTAAGATAATGACAAGGAGAATATGTTTAACAATCAAGAACTTTTAAAGCTGGGGATCATTTCCTTACTTCTTGATTCAGTGGAGATATTGTAGAGAGAAATTAGATGCTAGTTGTAGAACTTTTGCTGTGCTGTTGTTTTTATGAAAAGGCTCGTAGGTTGGCAGATGTTGCTGAAAAGAAGATTGTGTCATGTTTTGCAGCTACTCCCCCATCCTCTTAGCCATGTAATGAGTTGACAATTGAAGCAGCTGCTAAGTAACCAATGAGCAATGGAAAGAAAAGTGTTCAAACTATGATTCATTCTCACTTCTAGTTCCAAACACGTCTGGCCCCAGAACAAGAATGCCCTCCATACCTGACAGAATCGTGATCCACTCAGATAATGTTCCTACTCCGCCTCAAGATCAACAGCCACCAGCCCTGAAGCAACCCTCTGCCGTGCCACAGCCCGGTGTGGGGCAGGCTCCTGGCAAGAAAGATGACGCTGTTCCAGTCAAAAGTCGACTTGGCTTCCCCAGGAAGCTTAGTGACACTTTGGAATTGAAGAAGATTCCTCGGGAACTGAACAACATTGCCAAGTTGAATGAGCATTTTCAACGATTTGGAACCATCAGAAACATTCAGGTGAACTTAAGTACCAGTTTAGTTTCATTTCAGACCTTCACAGGAGCAAGCACAATGCTTTGCAATGCAAATTGCATCAAATGAGAGTGGCACTTCACTGAGATGTAGCTAAAATCGACAGATTCTGAACAAAAGTTATCAACTGCTTCAAAATCTTATGATCTATTCATTTTCCACTCTTGTGTGTTCACAGGTTTGTGCCTTTGGTGATCCTGAAGCAGCACTTGTTCAGTTTTCTCATCACCAAGAATGTAAAGCAGCTTATTCCTGTCCTGATGCTGTCCTCGGCAACCGATTTATCAGGGTGTTCTGGCACAACCCGGACAGAAATCAGAATAATAAGGTATGCCATGGCTATTCAAACCTTAAAGATAATTGTAGTTTCAAAATTTTTCAGTGAGTGAAATACTTTTTGCTGATTGTGGGTGACATCTGAATTGGGAATTTCAGGATGGAAATTCAAAAAAAGAAGGCACGCCATCTAGTAACCCTGGATCAGAGTCTGCTGATGGGGAATCAACTACAAAGGAGAATTCCATTAAGGTTTGATTTGACTAAAAATCATCACTTGAATAAAAAAGGCTCAGTTAACATTGAATTTTAAGTTGCATTTTTCAATTTCACATTTAAATCTAGATTTTTTTATGTTACAATTATTTGACATATGAAATCAAACACCAAAATATTATTTTAATAACACTTAAGCTTGAAAACACTTTTGGAGTATAATTTATAACTTTGCGATTGTAATATTTTTTCTCGATGTTTTCACAGTCTGCTGCTGAACCTAAGGCAAAACCAACCATGTTTCAAAGTGGGAAGACAACTTTCTCAAAGACTGCAAAGGCACCTCCTGTTCTTGCACCATCTGGTCCAGCTTTGACTAAAAGGCAACAGGAACTTCAAAAACAGGTTAGAGGCATTTATCTTCCTGTTTACAGCAAGCTGGACAATCAGACATCACCTATCAGTAGAAATTGTAAAAGTAACATAACCCCTCTAGCAGATAGTATGTAAACAGTTTTAATAGAGAACTTTTACACTTAGCTTTTCAGGTCCTAAGTATAAACTAACATACCATCCTGTGTTGGTCTTCTTTTTTTGAATGACAGGAAGCTATGAAAAAGAAGCTTGAAATTCAGAAACAAAAGCAAGAACTACTCAACAAGCAAATTCAAGAACAAAAGGTAAGGAGCTTAAATGTGTCTTTTTTTTTTGACTGCCATGCTCAAACAATCAAGCGAATATTAATGTTAAGAGCCAACGTTTCGGCATCGTCATGATGACACCATTCTCAAGGCAAAGTGAATAAATACTGCCAAGATTTGATTTCCATGGTCTCTACAAGTAAGCATAATAACAAAGGATCACAGCTTATAATCAACTGTTAGTCACCATTTCAAAGCTTTTCTGTGTTATGTTACTGTAAACAAATAATTGTTTCAATTTCATTCTGTAGCTAAATCATCACTGTTAACATATTTTGTTTGCTCTCTTTCCAGCTTCTAATCTCCAAGCTTGAGAAGAAAAACTTGAGTGCCGCAGAGAAAGAGTTGATAATGAAGGTTAGAGACGCCCTGCTCAAAGATAAATTGTCACGCAGTCCTTTTATCACATTTAATTTGTAATTTTTCATCGCTTTTATTTCTAGAACTCGCAAAGTTCAGATTTGTATCTTTGTATTTTAACTACAGACCATCAAATCTCTAAGTTCAAACATTGAAATGTTGAAGAAGGAAGTGGAGTTAACAGCAATGGCAGCTAAATCAAAAGAGAGTCCTTCACAGGCCAGACAAATTGTAAGTGGGCATTCTATGATTTAGTTATATCAAGGATTTTTTTTCCCACTAACAGCCAAGTCCAATTAAAGTTGCCACACACACACAGAGTCCTATGATAATGGTTTAATAGGATAACTTTCCCTTATATTTCATCAGTTGTTCTTTGTAAAAGTAGTCTGTCCTAGGACCCATTACTCAAAGGTCCTGGGCCAATAAAAGCTGTTCTGTTTTTATTGAAGATTGGGGTTTTAAAAGTTTTGAAAATTATATAATAAAACTATAAGCTAAGAAAACAAAATGGACCAGTTAAGATTACAGAACCTGCATCTCTGTTCTTTAAATTTTGATTTTAGAGTATGGTATAGCAGAACTTGTCCACCACTAGCTGGACCACATAAAATCCACTGATAAATACAACATACCACACCAAACTTCTTTGAGAACGCCTCCTCTATTATTGTATTATACTGTGAAACTAAAAATTGATTTAAGAAATTAGGGACACACAAATAGATTAAGAAATGCTTCAGGTAAATCAAACTTACATTATTGCCGGATCTGGCAAGAGGTGACATCGATTGAACCTTTCCTTCCTTTCCTTTACTAATTTCTTTCCTTACAAGCACGAGTGCTTACCAAAACCTGATCAAAGGGCCTTTTATCAAATATATTGAATTACACTTAAGAGTGCGTGATGAGCCCACCTAGTGTGACTTTAAAGATTATTAACCAAATCAAACAGTGAACAGAGAGGCGTGCTACAGGGGCACTTACATATGGTTTCAGGCCCGTTCAGTTACTGAGACTTTCAGGAAATGTGCCAAATTGTCAAAATATTGTGGTGATTAAGCATTTTGCTAATTTCAGGCTCAGAAAGCAATTCTTGACCAAGAGTTAGATCTCATTACCCATCAAAACACAGGAGAAGACACCACAGAACTGAAGAAAAAATTTGAAGAACTGAAACAAGAGGTACTATATAGCTAGGAACTTAAAGTTTGAAAATGTACTTTTTATTAGCACTCAATTTAAATAAATTTACAGACTGGGGTTTCAATAAAAGCTAGTTACCTGTGGTTTACCATACCTCCAAGACCCTTCACAGTCATCTGTTTAGCTCACAAGCAGCTTTTGTGTTTGGGTTTTGCCTTGTGGCCCCTTTCTACACACAGCCGCTACCTACCAAAAAAGTTATCAAAACCTTTGAGTCAGTGAAAAATACCTCTGATCAGTCCTTGTCTATCAAATACATTTACTTAAGGAATATTCGTAGTTAAAAATATCAAATTGAAAGTTAAGGAGTATCAAACTGTATCATTATATATAAAATTATGTTTCTTTTACTACTTTTTTTTTCCCCTCAGGCCAAATCTCTTGGATTGTTAGACCCACCCAATAAAGGGCGTGGCAGAGGTGTGGTTAGAGGTAGAGGCAGAGGAACAGCTGTCAGAGGCAGGCCTCTTCCGAGAACAACACGGGTGTGGACAAGGGAAAGTGCCAGCCTGGATCACAGACCCAGACAGATTGTTGTGAATGAAGTCACACCAGAACAGAGAGAAGATATTTCAGAACACTACAGTGTAAGCTTTTTTAAACGAAATGCTCTCTAATTTGGTAGCTGTGTGTTTCCCAACACAGTTTTCAACATTGATCCAACCCAATTTATATCTTTTGTTACAGGAATTTGGAATTGTTGACAATGAAGAATATAGTGAGGACAAGAATACCCTTCACCTGACTTTTCGCACAAGAAAAGAAGCAGAAATTGTAAGTATAGTTCTTTCATTATGTAGTTGTCATGGTTTGTGCTCTTTTCCCAGTTTGACCTTTTATCTGCAATGGCTAGAACAACAATCTTTCAAAGAAAATGGGGATTATTGAACTTTGTTGATGGTAATGTATGAGAGCTTTTGTTTAAAACAGATCCTTTTCTCAAGAACTTTTCAACAAGCAATTTCCTGTCCTTCAAATTAACTATAGGTTGCTTCACTTCATGGCAGTGTACTTACTTCTGTTCTGTTATATGTCAGGCATACAACAAAGGGAAAACATTCAAAGGAAGAGCTCTGAAAGTTGCATGGTATCGCGCTCCAGTCCCTCCCCCTTCTCCATCTACAGCTGTTCCAACCACGCCCACCACACCCACCACTCCAACAACACTAAAGAAAGTTGAGGAAGAGCTAGGACTTTTTGATGCAGAATTGGTAAGTGGTAACTACAGTCCCTCATGTGATGGCTTGGTTGAAGTGCTTCGAGACTTGAGGAATTTTGCTCTAAATTCCTGTAGTTACTACTCCTAGGGACCGTTTCTTGAAATACCTGGCAACTTAACAGGCCCAAAAAGCTGAATGTAGTGGGGTTTTTTTTTTTTTTTTTGTACTATTTAATCTCCAAATTGCCTGTTAAACCACTTTACACCCTAACATCAGTATGCATATTCTCCATACTGTTTCTATATATTTCCAATGGTACTGACAACAAGAATTTCCTAGACAATCAGGAGCTTCTCTAATTGGTAATCATTTCCTTTATCCTCATGGCCTTCCCATTTGATTAAAGCAGTTACTTTGTGGAAAATTTACAAACCAGTCACTTTTATCACTTTCATCTGTTTCAACTCATATTCTTATTTGTACATTTCCTTTGGTACCAACAAGGATTCTTTTAATAACAATCAAAGCTTCTTAGGATACTGATCATTTCTTTTATTCTCATGACCTTGATGTGTGATTATGGGGTTATATTGTGAGGAGAAATTAGGTACTGGTCACTCTTAAGGGGTCCAAGGGTGAAAACTTATGTTCCCCTTTCAGGGAAAACATGAATTCGATCCTGAGACAGAGGAAGCCCTCCTTTTGGGAGAAGACTTTGACGAGGAAGAGGAAGAAGAAGATGAGCGATCATGGAAAAGATAGACTATTGCATGTTCTAACTCAACATTTTGTGATATAGATAGGAAAACCACTTTGCAATTTTCCAGAGTCAAAGTTTATTTATGTGAGCATGCCACATAATTCTGTAACCAAATGGTGGTGCTTGCCACATTTTAGATGACTTATAATTATATTATGTTGTTATTTCTATTTTAATTTTACTTCCTGTTGTTATGAACCATTGTACAGTCAATTAGTCACTGACCTTAGAAGAGTGAAACGATTCTTTAAAAAAAGAAAAATGAAGAAAAAGATAATGAAAAGAAGTTCTACAAAGAGAAAAGAACAAAAAACATTTGCTTGACTTCAAGCTCCCAGAAGAAAAATTCTTTCCCTCTTGAAAAAAACAGTGAAGACAAAAAACACACTTCTGAAAAAAAAAAAAAAAACTAAAAAAAAAAAAAAAAAAAAAAAAAAAGGCTCAAAAGTCAATGATCAATGTGAGTGTATGGAGACTGGTGACCAAAGATTTGTGAAGCAAAGCCTGGAGAATGCTTGACATCAAAAGCAGGAGGAGGACTGGAATGAAAATGTTTCTTTTGGAATGAAGAGGAACAGGATTATTTAAGATCTTACATCATTTACAGGCAAGGATATGCAAGGTCAGTGCACCTAATTTGTCTCTGTAAATTCAGGGTTCTTGTCATATTCAACTGGAAGACTGTAAGACTAGATATCAAGTAGGCATACATATTCTCAGGAAGGTCATCATAAAATTTAATTGCATGCACCCCTAACAATTTGTGAAAGGTCACTCAAGGTTTCATATACTTTTGGTATGAATAAGCAAGCACATGCAGCACTCCCAAGCTAATTTTTTGAAAAGTCGCTGTTTGGCGACCTTCAATTGTAAAATGGTCGCTATAAAAAAAATTTCAGTCCTTCCCCCCTCCCCCCCCACAAAAAAAAAAAGCCAGAAGGAGGACACTTCATGATATATTACACGAGTGCTATTGCACCGAACAGCTCGTTTTTAACACTTAACTTTGCTACTGTAAGAGAAAGAAAAGGAAGAGACTGTCTAGTGACAAAAACCATTTATTTCAACATTACAAAGCTGCTGAGACCGTATAACATTGCCAATTGCGGCAAGAGTACCATACAACCCCATCATTAATTATGCATTCAGACTAGTAGAATTTGTTTTTAAAGTTTTGTCGTGAAAGACAAAGAAGTGGAATGCATAATTAATGTTTTGGGTTATATGGTACCCTTTCCCCAATTGCTTCTTCAAATTGATTGAATTTGCCATTTTTTTACGTAGTTGAGTTTCTGAACAACGAGAGGTGAAAAGAGAAACACAGGTGATGCCCCCCCTTGTACTATTGATTAAATTAGTCCTATTGTTGATAATTTTTCAAGTAAGTTTCTCTTTTAATCTGTTGGTTGCCAATTGACAACTTTTGCCAGAATTTTAGTCGCGAAATTTTTTTTTTCACTTGCCATGGCGACCAAAATGGTCGCAGCTTGGAGCGCTGACATGTGATTTTCCACCTAATATCTCATTAGCAATTCTCCTTTCGGTCTGCCATACATTTCATATGATGCAATTCTGAGAATGTGGTGTTGGATCAACCTATATCCCCTAATTCTTGTCGCTGGTCACTGATATCATATTGATATTGAAACGAGAAATTATGTCTTGATCACTTATGAGGGAGGAACGGTTAAATATCATCATGTACAGTACTGCTGAAGAAGTAAACAACAAGAAAGTGGACACCAAACATTTTTATTTCAACACTTTCAGAACTGTCAAATTGCCTACAATGTTATTTTGCAATATCTCATAGAGCAAAAGTATTAACTTATTTCAGTATAGAAAAAGAAAAGGTTTATTTTATATCCAGCACTACATTGCTCTGGGAGTGAGATCTTTCAGTTAGGAGACTCTTGACTTCACTTTATCAAGAAACTGAAAAAAAAAAAAAAAAAAAAAAAAAAAAAAAAAAAGGCACATACATCTTAGTCAACAATTAGGTATCATCCTACAGCAGGCTTGGAGGAAGGAAGAACACAGGTAAATTTAGATTAGAGTCTGTAAAGATTGTTATACCACTTTAGATTCTTCTGTATTATTGAGGCATAAAAGAGATACAGGTCTTTTTTGTGTTAACAGTCTCTACAGCATGCTTATTGGAAGGAAGAACTCAAAATAACACAGGTAAATTTAGATTAGAGTTTGTAAAGATGGTTATACCACTTTAGATTCTTCTGTATTATTGATGGATACAAGATATACAGATCTTTTTTGTGTCAACAGTCTCTACAGCATGCTTATTGGAAGGAAGAACTCAAAATAACACAGGTAAATTTAGATTAGAGTCTGTAAAGATGGTTATATCAGGTTAGATTCTTCTGTGTTATTGATGGATATGTCATACAAGAGATACAGATCTTCTTTTTTTGTGTTTACATGATCTTTAAATATTTAGGGATCCAGAGAATTCTCAAAAGTTAACAGTCCAGGGATCCATTTCTCGAAGATCCCAGTAACTTAATGGGCCTGTAAAGCTGTTTTGTTTTCATTGAAGATGAAGGTTCTAAAATTTTGAAAATTATACAATCAAACCGTCAGTTAAAAAATCAAATTAGACTGGTTTGGGTACCAGAACTTGATTCTGTATTTGTTCAATTTTAATTTTAAAATATGGCTTTGGGCCCCTTATGTAACCAGGATTTTTGAGAAATGGCTTCAGAATTCTCCCAACCCCCCTTGTGCTGAAAGAAGGTTAGGTTAACATAGAGAAAGTCCCCCATTGCTGAAATACTATTTGCTCTGACAGAGAGCTGACTTTTCAAACTCAAGCTTTCTTAGATTTGATGTGGTGGTCAATTTACTTCGCTTAAAGTGCACCTAAATCTCCAATTTTTTTTTTCCTTTAACGAAATAAGCTTATTTTTCGGAGTATTTCTTTGCAAAAATTTTTTAATTTGCTCAAATCTTTAATTTTCTGTGCCCAGTCAAAATATGGAAAATCGGACACTATCTTACCCCACGACTGAGTTTAAAGAGGAATGGCTCTAGCGGGTAATGTGACATCAAATAGAGAACACGAAAGTCTGCATTTCATACATTTTCACTTGTTTGGGAAGGTTGTCGTCGATATTGTTCAAAATATGCTGACTAGGTGTGTTGTATGAGGAATGTATGAAGCGCGATACCCTCTTGCAAATTTCGCATGTTGCTACATCCTTCTACAACACACTTCGTCAGCATATTTTTTGACAATATCGACTGCAACCTTCCCAAACAAGTGAAAATGTGTGAAATGCAGACTTTCGTGTTCTTGATTTGATGTCACATTACCTGCTAGAGCCTTTCCTCTTTAAACTCAGTCTTGGGGTAAGATGGCGGCCGATTTTCCGTAGTTTGACAGCGCACAGAAAATTGAAGATTTGAGCAAATAAAAAAATTTTTGCACAGAAATACTCCAAAAAATACGCTTATTTCGTTAAGAAAAAAAAATTGGGGGTTTAGGTACACTTTAAATTCACGATACTTGAATCAAGTATTGCTAATACGATGCAATTTCATACTGCTGAAACTAAAACCTCTAATTGCCATTCAAGACAATTTTTCCAGGAATAATTGAAGCTACACAATGCCTGGATTGATTACCTGTAAGGATATCCATGGTACTTGGAACGAAACACAGACAACAGCAAGCTGAAGAACAACACCACCAGACCCAAACCAACCATAACTACAACTGAGTGACAAGATCAAGTGTTATTATTCCCTGTTCATTATGGCAACAATATGGAGGACTGCAAGAACCACTCTAGTCTGTTCCAAGCATTCAGATAGTATAACAGAGTGCCACAGTAGCAAGAGTGCAACAGTGCCACAGTAGCAGTGGAGTGAAATAAGCAAGGGAAGCTTGGATCTAGACATGCACATGACATACACGTGTAAAGAACATTTATTATACAACCTGACCCAAAACTCCCTCAGTTTTCACTTGACAGCTGCTACTGTGCTGTTCACAATTGTGTAAAAAGGTAAAGTCTGTTTATGAGCCAAGTGGCCCATAAGGCCGGGACTCAACTCTGGTTTCAATAGCATGAAGCGCCTAGTAGTATTTCTACTCTTCCCTGGATGGAAAGCTAGTCCATCACAGGGTTACCCCTCAACATTAAATTTGCCGGAACCCATTTAAACACCTGGCTGAAGAGAGGCACTGTCTTGCCCAAAAACACAACACAAATGTCCCCAGCCAGGGCTCAAACCCACACCACTTGATCTGGAGGCAAGTGCACTAACCATGAGGCCACTATGCCTCCCTTATCATAATTGTGTATAGTTTTACTAACTAAATGCCTGGAACAGGCTACAACCACTCAGAAAAATCATCTTCATAATATCTTTATCTCCTTCAAAAGCACTATCAGCTATCAATTCTTGGCAGTACCTAAGGAGATAGTATTTCTGTGTTAACAGACAATCCTAATTTTACTAGTGGTCCTCCTCGCATTTTCTCTCTTGTTTCTGGTAGCAGATTAAGAGTGTATGACAAAATGTATCAGGGAAAGAACAGACTTTAACTTCAAAATAAAAGGCAGTTAGAACACCTACTTTTGCGTTTTCCAATCTCTTTGACTTCAAATGCCTTCTCATTGAGAAGAATCATGCCAGCAACATACAAGGCATCTTTGAAAATGGGTCAAGGAATAAGCCAATATAAAAACTATAGGAAAAAAAAGTTCTAAAATGTATTTTAAATGTGGTGCATTGATTTTTTTTTTTTTTTAACTTGTGATGAATGTCAATCAAACTAAATGCTCCAAAAAGTATTTAAAGAAAATAAAATAGCCATCATACTTCTCTCACAAAAAAACAATCAAATTAAGTAACACCCTTCTCCAGTCACACTAAGATTGCCAACATCACAGTTCTGGTCATTTCCTCTGGTTGAACAACACTATGGTAAATACTCCAAGAAGAAGGGACCAAAAGTAGCTTCTTTTTTTGCCCCAATTGTATCAGGATTTACCATATTCCTCTGTAGAGGTTGTATTGCATTGGTTATTTCCTGGAACCACATTGTCAACATGGTTTCTTTGAAGTTCTGAAGTATTACAGCCAAATTGGAACATTTCTCACTTTTTATTAAAAAAAAAAGACACCCAGTATCTTGATTTCTACAAAAGGATACTAAGTAAAATGACAATGTGAGTTTCAGCAACAAACTGAGCTTGACTACTGCCATGTATGTAGCTCTAAATAAAACACATTATTTATTCATTTAGTACCACATAAGAGTAGAAAAATAGAATTTCACATGCATAAATGCTAGAAAACAAGTGTACATCAGGGTTGTTGCTAAGTGCAGGCTGCCAGCAAAATTCAGCAGAAGAAAAAGTGGAGATCACTGGCTTGATTCTTAGCTAGTGA